AGCAGCTCTCCAGACCTTGTGACTCTGTTTGTTCAGTCAGCCTAGCCGTAAGATATTCCTTACTTTGTATCCTGCTCTCTTTCCCTGGGTTGTTTCCTATTCCTTTCCCCTTTTGTAAATAAACCCATTATTGGCCCTTTTGTGTGTACCTGCCGTATAACCAAATTGTGAGCGCATGGGTGAGGCCCCACAGACAGGCGGCCCAGTCCACTCTGGGCTACCCTGTAACAAAACCAATTCCACTCAATAAATATAAATTTACCACCTATGATGTGCAGAGAACTAGTCTAAGGTGGGAAAAACAAAGATGACTATACAGAATCCCTGCCCTAGGAACTCCCTAATCAGGGCATGTCCATGGTTTAGCAGCACAGACAAATCCTGGGAGTTTGTTACCAATGTAGAAGCTCAGGCTTCATCCAGATCTCTGGAATCAAGAGTTTGTGTCTTAACAGATCTCCAGGTGATTCTCAGGTATATGAATGTTTAAGATTACATGCAGTATTCACAGAAACTAGATCTATAATCAGATCAAAATAGTCTTTCAGTATTATGGGATTACTTTTGTCTACATTATTGAAATGAAAACTAATACAGATTCAGTGTTATTTAAGGGGAGAGAACAGGAAGTTCCTAAATTGAAACATAAAAAGATAGCTGATCTTTGAACAACATTGGTTTGAACAGCATGAGTATACTCATTCTCAGATTCACCCCCTCCAATAAATACATGGCAAAGTTTTTGTAGATTTGCAACAATTTGGAAAACTTTGCATGTGAGCTTCATAGAAATACATACACACACACACACACACACATATACATATATTTAAATATTTATTGTTATTTATTTATGCATACAAAGACGGAGTTATAGGCCAGAGGTCTGGGGGTTGAGAGGATTCACCAGAGAGAGTGGGGAGCAGAACAGGCAGATCTACTGAAATACACTGCTGAGAGGAGCATTGGGCGAGAGACAGGAAAGTTCTGCTGCACCATGTGGGACAACTCCTTGGCCAGATATTGAACTAATGATGAAGCAGCTTCAGATAGTTTCATAGTGCTGACCTTTAACCCCTCCACCAGGGAGGGCTAGCTTAGAAATACATATATATTAAAAAGCAGGGGCCCTCCTTGGTGGCGCAACAGGTTAAAATGACGCAGCACTATGAAGCTAGCTGCAGCCACCTCTGCATGAGTTCAATTCCCAGCCAGGAAGGTGATCCACATGGCACAGCAGACTTCTCACTTGCCTGCTGCTCCCCTCAGCAGTGTACTTCATCAAGCTGCCTGTTCTGCTGCCCACTCCATCTTCTGTGAATCCTCCCACAGTCTCTGCACCTCTGGCCTGTACCCCAGTCCTGTATGCATAAACAAGTAAATCTTAAAAAAAAAAAAAAAAGATATATAAAAAATTTTAAGTAAGATATGTCTTGAATGCATAAAATATTTGTCATCTATTTTATCCTTTACTACCATACTACCATAAAAAACACACAGGTCTATTATTAAAGATTAGAATTTTTTATAGTTTTATAAAAGTTTATAGTTCCATAGTACTTTTAGATAGTATTATAAGAACTTGCACACATATGAGTGGTATATAGAGCCCTTCTCAGTTGAGGAAAATGTAAACTCTTTGGTAGGGCTTCCAGCCAACAGCAAGCTATTAGTAATTACATTCCTGGGAAGTCAAGTGTTATATGTGGATTTTTCATCTGCTTAGGGGTCAAAACCCCTAACCCCATGTTGTTCAAAGGTCAATAGTATATTATTCAAAGAAGTGCCTATGGATCCATTTCTTTGAAATGAAATCCAGAAGTATGAACATTGGCTCTGTCCTCCCCAAATGACAATTCTTCAATATCCGCAATAATCACAGGCCCTTGTAGAAAATGTTAGGAGCAGGAACCAGATAAAAAGTATTCATCTTAAACAGGTTTTTGGCTATGATTCATCTTTGTGTTGCATTAATTAAGAAGAATCCACTTATAATAAAAAAATCACATTCTTGGTTACATCTTGAGCTCATAGAGATTTGACCTTCAAATACACTCAAATCTACATATTTTTTTTTTTACCAGGTATCTCTGGGTCCACTTTTTGTGAGCCAACAGTAGAAGCACACCAGCTGTGATGGCCTGTGAAAAGAAAATGGAAAAATAACATCCAAGATACAAGACACCTTTGGAAAGAGTTCAATGACAACTCTGTCAGGAACTGGTAGGAACAGCAAATGGCCAAATGGATTTTTGGCTCTGATCGCCTCATCCTTAATGACAATGAAGAGAGATCAGTGTCATAAAGACATGATTCACAGAAGCTCATTTCAAAATTTTCTGTGTTGCCTTTGCCACCACAATGACAACCTTCACCACTGTCAGGTGCCACTGTAAATAAATAAGACTTAGGTCTTATTTTGACAATAAAGACTGCCTTATTTCAACCAATTGTCTCTTGTTTATCTTTTTCACAAATTGCTAAAATTTTAAATGAGAGGATCTGGAATAGAAATGTCTCATAGAACTTTGAAAACCCAGCAGCATTATCTTTTACTATTTGCTTTCATTTGAGATTCTACAGCCTCAGCCTGCTGGTTGTATACAAATACATGATTCCTGTTTCTCAAGTAACAAAGATTATCATCAGAATGAGGCATGATGGGGCATTTATTGTTCTGTTGCAGTGGTGTCCAGCTTTTCAAAAGAGAGTTCTTTATAGTCTCTGTTGAAGGAAACACCCAAAGTGTAGAATGAAAATAGTTAAACAAAGGAGGGAATGGTGTCACCAGAATTGAGCAATAGATAATGGGGGGAAGAAAAGAAATTCTGGACTCATCTTTGATTCAGTACTGGGTCTGATGAAGGAGATCTTTGTAGTCAGTGAGCCTGGAAATGGCTTATTCCCAAAACTATAAATCATTTGTTGCTGGTTAAGGAATGTTTTGAGGTTGAGAGAGAAAACCAGGAAGAGATGTGCCTGAAGTAAGATATAGAATAAGGGCAAGACCAAAAATAGTACAGTTTAGGCTTTTGACAGAGAAATAAACAGAGAAGTACGGGCTCTACAAACTTGAGGAGAAAAAAAATCAGAGCCCTTACCAAAATAGTTTTGTGGTATGCTGCTTTTGTAGCACTGGGTCTGGCATATTTATTGTTTTGAGACCCAGCCTTTTATTTTTCTGGCATATTTTATTTTGAAAGTTGGATTAAGAGAATTGGAGCAAAAGGGGAAAAAACACATGTATGCTCACACAGAACCTCTTGTGTAAGTGAGCCTGAAATTCTAGGCTTGGCATCTCCATACCATAAAACTCCCATAGATAAAAACAGAACCATCTGTCGTCAGAAGAGTTCCCTGGCTTGACTTTGCCAGAGTGAAGTTTCCAGGAAACCCAATGCAGGTTGGGCCAGCGTGAATAGTAGGGCAGAACAGGAGAATTATTAAGAGTGACTGTAACACGGGGTGCCAAGCCTGGAGCCAATCTCTGCTTTCAAAGGTAAGGCCCTCAAATGACACTTCACTCCTCTGTGAGAAATACTGAAGCAGGGAGATAAAAGGAGGGATACGCCCCTCCACCCCTCCGCCTCTCCACCCCTCCACCCTTCCCTGGTTTCACTCCAAGTAGATAGCTGACATTATCGGATGCTTAGATTCCAAGGTTGTCTTAACTACTTTGGCATGGACTGTTTTTTCCCTTTTGAAAGCTGAAAAATGCTGCAGATTTGCAGTTCCCTGTTATTTCTGTTGTAGCTGCCAGCTTGAATTCTGCTTTGTTTACACAAAACCTTGAAAAAGCTCTTCCACGGAACAGTGGGAGCACTACTGTGGTGTCACTTGTCACAGGGATGGCGGCTCCCTGGTGCATGTGTGCTTCCCCGACAGGTACAGCCTTCCCTCCCTGCACCCCCACCCCTTTATTTTTTCATTTCCTTTTTAAAAATTTGTTTTTAGATAAAGTGGTGGTGTGGGGGAGAGAATGAAAAAGGAAGCGATTTGAGGGCAAGGGAGGGAGGGCAAGAGGGAAAAGAAAATGTTAGTGAGGTCACATCTGGGGTGCAAAGTTGGACAGCGCAGGAGAGCAGGAGTGGGCTTGAAAGTAAAAGCCAGTGGGGCTGAGAGGCCAGGCCTGTACTTTCTTCTCTGGCTCTTCTTGATAGGCTATTGACTCGCTCCATTGGCAGCTCCTGGGGCAGCACTTGGATTTCGCAACACTTGGCAAAACACTCCAATTGCCAGCCCTCCCACTAAATCTTTAAATTGCCCAAATAAATGACCCAGTACCCAGAAATAGATGAATTGAAGGAAACGACACAGTCACCACGGAAAAAGGAACTTTTTAAAGCAATCGTTTTGACGTGGGATAATTTATGACTTACAAACAATGGATAGTGATGGTCACTGAGTAGACAGATGATTATGAAGGTGAACTCTATGCCAGGCCCTATAGTAAATACACGTATTAAATTAATTTATCCCTCAGGTGATCCATACCTTGTAGAGCTTCTACTTTCAAAGTGAGGCACAGAGAGGTTCACTATGATGAGCAGTTTCACCAGGTAATAACTTTACATAAACAATGGCTCTAGCCCTCTGTGGACTTGACTGTCCAGAAGTGAAAGTAATGTCCATATAAGAGCATCCACAAAATTAGGCAAGGACAGTTAGCATTCTGTGTGAAAAGAGCTCAGTGACAATAAACAACTTCCAGGGGGAATACTTTCTGACAAGGTCACTCTCGGGAAACAGACCTAGCGGGTTTGGAGGATGGAGTGATCTCACTGGAGGCTGCCAAGGGAAGGGCAGCCCTGGCACTCAGCAGTGTGCAAAGGCAAACGGGTAGCAGCCGGGCTTGAGGAACAGGGAGTCAGGAACCCAGACTGGAGGGAGGGTTGGTTTTTGGCAGAGAGGAGGAGGCCATCGGACTTGAAAGCCATATGTGACTAAGCTGAGGAGAGGAGGGCCTCAAAATTCATCATAACAAATCTGGACTCTGTTTGGATAATGAAGCAACACTGAAGAGCTAGACAGCTAGACGGACACAACAGAGGTTTGGAGAGATGAAACAATTTTTTGGATGCATGCTGGACTAAGGTGGAATAAGGCATGGAGGTCTCTGCAAGGGTCTTAAGCCCTTTTTAAAACCTCTGCACATAGTAAAAAAAAAAAACAAAAACTGTTGGCCAAAATAATCTTTGTGTTATATATGTGATCCACTCTAATATTCTCTACCTTATTTTAATTCGTTTTATGTTTTGTAAATGTTGCCAGTTACTCAGTAAGTTGATCTTATCATTCACTAATGGATAAATTCCTATCAGTTAGTGTCAAAGCTATCTAAGCATAAAGCTGGGCAAGAGTGGGAAGTGGTAAGGAGTTGGGGGTGGGGGCGGGTGGCTATACAGTGAGAAGGAAAACAGAGAGTTATGTATCATAGGAAAATATCAAAGTTATCTAGCAACTGTGTGGTTGGGCTGGGCTAGGAGAAGGGTCAAGGAGGACCTGCTTCTTCCTCAGACCAGCAACACTGGCATCTCTGAGGGACTTGTCAGACATGCAGTATCTCAGGCTTCACCCAGCTTGACTGAATCAAATTTAGAGTTTAACAAGCTTCTCAGGTGATTCAAAAACTAGTGAAAAGCACTAGTTTAGAGGAAAGGATGGAGTTGAAGTCACTCCAGGGTTTGAAATTGAGTTCAAAGGCAGGGAAGTCAGGAGAAGAAATAATTGCTTTTGCTGGTAAGATGATTAATTTTGTTTTTGAAAGTTGAGCTTAAAGAAGCTTATGATATCTAAGTGAAAAATTGGCCACGGGGAGGTTGGAAATCACAGGACTGTGTTAGCTGTAAGATACTTGAGTGATGGGTAGGAAGTCTCCTCTCTATTCAGGAGGAAACTGGGACCTGGATGGGTACATGTATTTCAATAGCCCACCTTTCTCCTATCTGTATGTAGTGTTCTGGGTGCAGCTTGCCACTGGCCAACTCACCAAATCCTCCAAGATTCAAATCCTGTGTTTAAAACTCTTATGTGTCATTCTTTTTATCAAAGCTTAAAAGTTTTCTAGGACTAAAAGAAAGCTCAGACTTCAAGGCATAGTGATCTCCTTGCTGCAGACATATTAGCAGCTGATGCCTTTAAATAACCTAGTTCAGAAATTTAAGGGGAACTGCACATCATGTGGCAGTTAGAACAGAGGAAAGTCTGAGGATAAAATATCTATTAAAAATTTAGTAAACCTGGAATAAAAGACATAAGACAAATACAAAGTATGGTGTGACTTGTTGAAATCTCTATAATTCTTGAAAGATGTATGGAATCATTAACAAAAACAAAAGACTGTAGGATTAAAATATACAAATTATCTTCCATTAGAGGAAGATATACTTTGCAGGGAAGTTGAGAGGGGGTTGGCCAGGAGGGTTGTGGAATGAGTAAGAGACCTTTTGAAGTTGACCCTGATCAGATAGAGCTGTGTTTCACTAGGAAACTCACTAGGGGGGAAAAAAATCACATTCTTCCAAATTTAGACATTATTGACAGAGTGGGCATTTCTATTACTTTCCTGCTTATGAGGATTTTCCACCTGCTTTAGTATAAATACCAACTTGACCTTTAGTCTTTGCAATCTAATCAGAGTTTAACTGTATAAGAAATTCAGTACCATCAGAATGGAGAGCATTCACTCATTCAATATTATTTATGAAGAATACTTGTTGAGGGCCCTCCCTAGTAGTGCAGTGGGTTACAGCACAGCACTGCAAAGCTAGCCACAACTGCTTCAGCAAAAGTTCGATGCATAGCCAGGGGGTTGACCCATATGGCCCAGCAGACCTCTCCTGACCTGCCCTCTGCCTGTTCTGTTCCCCAGTCTGTCTCTTGTGAATCCTCTGACTGCCCCTGTACCTCTGGCCTGTACCCCAATTCCATATGCATAAACAATCTTTAAAAAAAAAGAATATTTGTTATATCTAGTATGTGACTATGTTCTAAGTGCTGGACATACAGAAATAGACAAAATAGAATAAATCTCTGCCCTTGTACAATTAGTTTGGGGAGGTGGGTGATGGGTACAATTTAATAAGTACATGAGATAGTATGTTAGTAGTGATAACGGGGAAAAGTTAAACAGGGCATGAGAGATAAGGAATGCCACTTGGCAGGGACGCTTGAAAATTTTAAATATGGTAATAAGGAAAGGTATCAGTAAGAAAGTAATATTTGTTCAAAGAATTAAAGGCCATTGGGGAGCCATCTGGGGCAAAGACTTCAGGCAGAGGACAGTTAGTACAAAGACCTTGAAGTAGAAACACAACAAAAAATGTCACTCTGATAGAAAAGAAATGCACTAAGGGAAGACTGGTAGGAGGTGAGTTTCCCTAGGTAACTGCATGGGGAGCTCAGTAGGCCAACAGGGGAGCGGGTGGGAGAATGAGGTGGGTGTAAGGAATTAGAAATGAAAGTTTTGGGCAGAGCATAGGACACATTGAAAGGATAGGGTGTTAACTAGCCCTTGCCAGAACTTTAAAATTGGCAAAGTTCTTTTTATGCAATCTTTGATTGTATTGTATTTATTCTCATTGGGTACCCTAGGAGTTGAGAGTCTCACATGGGTTCATTTAACCTGTAAAATCCCCCATTTTACAGGTGAAGGCAATGAGGAACTGATTGAGTGAGGGACTCATCCATGACCTCATAGTAAGAAGGTTGAATTTGGGATTTGAACACAGCCCCTCTTCCTCAAAGGTTATACTTTCTCTCCCCTTTTCCATGTTGTCACTCAAATAACCACCAACCAGCTATGTGCTGGAAACATGTCACATCATTTTTCTGGGTTTGACTAACAGATGTCTCACATAGAACAAGCATATATTCAATGATTTCTGATCCTAATCAAGTCACTGATAGCTATTGACTGTTATGAAATTGGGATTGGCAAAATAATATAAGAGAAGGACACAAGTTGGGCTGTAATCATGGTTTTGTTAAGTTTTGGGTCAATTGTCGGACTTTTTCAAATGTTAAATAGTATAGAATATATCAGAATTTACTTCACACAGATTAACTATTATTTTGTAAAACTTTTTAATGTAGATCTAGTTATATTTTATATATCAATATCTATCAATTTACCTAGAGGGAAATGCATAGCTGTATTTATGTATATCCTGGGTCCTAATGAAAAATGTTTTTCTTACTGTGGGTCAACAATACAAAGTTTGGATGCTGCTTGAAAAAATATAGCTGCCATCTATATACAGTAGTATGTCTTTAGTGAACATATCGTTTTGAGCAGGTGTTGGGGGAAAATTGGAGTGTCAAGCCTGGGTAGATAGAAAAAGATGTCTTAAAAAGGAAAAAGTAAAACACCAAAGGGTCCTTGATAAGTCCCACATGCGTACTATCCACTTTCTTCCATCTACAGGCCATCATTAAACCTCACCATGCTGAGTGCCTTGAAAATCGAGGCCTATAAGCTAAGGCTCCAGGACCGCTGTGACACTCCATAAAGTCATCCGAGATCCAGGTCTATTCCAGTTCTACCCCAGAATGGCTTTTTGTCCATGGTGACTGCTAATGTTTCAGTCAGCACATTCATGTTCTAAGAAGGAAGATGGAAGAAATAGAAGGTAGGAGCATTCTTTTTCCTTTAAAAAGACTTTCTGTAATCCCACACAGTCCTCCTATATATCTCTTTGGTGAGGGTTTAAACACATCACCACACCTCTGCCAGAAAGGTAAGAAAACAAAATCATTCATCTGGGCAGTAATGGATTCAGTTGAAAACTGGGGTTTTAAAACAAAGGAGAAAGACTGATGTTGAAGTAGAATTTTATACTTTTTAAGAGCAAGAGAACTGTGCCAAACATATTTTCAACCAGGAAACATTGCTGGGGCATATATTCACACAAATGGTGGCAAGAGGAAATATGGTCACAGACATGGTACAGAGGCAAGAGGAAGGGCATCTATGAGTCAGGGAGAAAGTTCTGGACAGGCCCCACCCACATGGTTTTCAAAAGGCACAAACTCTTGGACACCTTGATCTTGGACTTCCAACCTCAGAACACTAATTATCTATTGTTTAAGTCTCTTGTACATTGTTAAGACAAGCCTAGTAAATGAGTACAACAACTTAATGGACATTTCATACAAATAAGGGCATTCTTTCACATAATCAACAATACAACCATCATTACTGGCATCTAATTTTCAGTTTTCATTCAGAATCTACCAATTGTCCTAATAATGCCCATTAGAATAAAAAGACTCAATTCAGAATCACACACAGACACACAAATAAAAATCTTACTACATTCCCCATTGTAGTTCATGCACATAGTAGGTCGACAATACATACTTATGTAATAAATAAATCAGATTTTATTTTCTTAGGTCTTGTTCTTAGATGACATTCCAAAGAGCTGATAATGCTAACTTAGGAGCACACACATTTTCTTAGTGGACTGTGAGTTAGTGAGGGTCATCACTAAACTTCTTAAATTATTTTAGTTCAAACAGTTGCATGGAAGGAAAAAGGTGGGAGAACTAAGATTTTGAACGTACAAATTTCTAGGTTACATAGACATACCTGAGTCTTCAATGAAAGTGTTAGATAAAAGTTATTTTACTTTGTCCTCCATTTTTACATTATTTTATCACAGTTTATATATATACTTTTTCTAAATTCAAATTTTAAAATATCGATTCCAATTTCTCAGAATATCAAGGTGAGAAGATTAAAATTAAAAAAAAATATATTTTTTCAGGAGACCAGTAAGATGCAGGCCTCACCTATCCACAAATATGAAATCAAATTATATGAAAACAATAGACAATGGTCTTTGGATGACTAATGGAGAACTTGCATGAACCAGGAGGAATGGCATAGCAGAGAGGGCAGGAAAATCTGCAGTTTTCTGATTGAAGGGATCATGCCCTCTTGGACACTTTAGAACCTGGAGATTGTACTCTATGGGGGTGTGAGTAGGGGGTTGGGGGATAAGGGCACAAAGAGTAAGTACCCAAATACCAGGTATAACTCTGGAATCCATAGAAACTTGCAGTGGTAACTTGGATGACATCTGCAAACCTAGATAACATACTGCTAGATAGCAACTGGGCAGTCAAAGCTGGAGAGTGAAATATCCTGTTTCCCTAAACAGGTTTTCTCAATTACAGCAGACCGTCTTGGAAACTGCCATTGTGTGGTCTGAGTAAGGTGGTGATCATTGGCTTGAACTTGGGGCACCCTGATGTGAATAGCTAAAACCTGAAATTGTGGAAAGGGTTAGACTGATTCACTTGTGTCTCCATACAGATAAGGTTATTCTTTTTATCTGTGTTATACAAAACACCTGTCTTGACTCCACCATGGCTAAAGCCAAGATAACAACTAAATGATATATTTTCACTAACCAGTGTTCAACAAACTTGGGCCCTAGCAGTAAGAGCAAGCACTCCAGAGCAAATTTTGGTAATCCAAATTCAAAGGGAGCCATCCCTCACCCATCACTCTGTTCCAAATATGGCTATAATGATTGACTGGTCACAGACTCTGTATGTTGATATACCAACTGATATACCAACTGAGAGTTTGAAGCTAACATGAGACTATTAGGAGTTTAACTGAGGAATTGGAGTTGGGGGAAGGGTCAAGATAAGTCTTCCCTCCTGCTAAATTAACGGTACCCATTGTACCTTAGGAAGGTTGATGTTTTTATGTGTTCACAGCAATTTCCTAATAACCCCACTACCCTGGTTCCTATCTCCTATACCCTGCTGATGCTAAGCATCCAAACAAGGGCAGAAGTGTCAGTTTATGAGACAATAGGCACCTAAGAATGCTAAATAAGTAACTTAGGAAGATATCCTGAGATCTGTAACTGTAATATATGACCAAGTCATCAAGGCAAGAATAGAAACTAAAAATGGAAATAGATATGACCCAGCAAACTTACTTGTGGTTATCTTCTGAGAAACTGGAAACAGCCAACTGAAAAAATTATACATGCCACAGTGTTTATTGCAGTATTATTTACAAGAGCTAGATTTGGAAACAAGATGGCCAATAAATTCAAGCTATCTCCCTACAGATAGAAGATTGGATATATAGAAGATGTGGTATATATACAATGGATTACTACTCAAAAATAATGAAAACTGAAATGCTATCTTTTACAGCAAGATGGAAGTATCTTAAGAGAATCATGTGTAGCAATATAAAGCCCACCAACAAATATTGGATGATTTCAATATGATTGACATAAATAAAAAATGAAAATGGATGAACTGATTAAACACAATAATTAAAAGTAGAGATATTTATAGCAAAAGTGATGTTTCTGAGATTAAGGGGGAGAGAAGAAAGGGTCAAAAGGAAAAATAAAATAAAATAGGGGGGAAATGCAGTAGATTTTAAAGAATTTATTGGCCAGCATGTTATTATAGTATACATGATATACAATACATGTGATAAAAATATTAAGAAAAATACCATATTTAAAATGCAACGAAGAGAGATCAGTATTTTAAGATAATAATGATTTTTCTATAGCATTTTAATGTCTACATTTTGTTGAAAAATGTAAAAAGAACAGGTTATTCTGTTTCCTCTTTTCCTCCCTCCTTCCTTTATTCTTTCAAAAGATGTAATAAGATAGTTTCCTACCAAAGCTCCATTCCAGATGGGACAGGCAATCCAGACACTCCATCCTGTGAACCAAAGCTTATAAGAAAAAACAGGGAAGAAAGCAATAATTCCAGAGCATATACTGAAAGCTCCTAGAGTAATAAGAATTCGTCCAGCAGCCTGATATAGGCCTTGCATTTTCTCCAGTAATTTGGATCCTAGATCTCAAAGACGTTTTGTTGCCAAAACATGAGAGTTTGACAGGCCCTCAATAAACAGAAGTTTCTTGGAGACTGTAGTCATGACACGTGGACTGTTGATCTACTTGGAAACAAGATTCTATTTGTTTCACCAAGGATAATAAAATGTAATGAAATAATCCTTGACATAAATTTGGCACCATAAATTCTAATACTAGTTTACTTGAGAGAGAGAGAGAGAGAATAAGAGGGGTGGGGGAGGGGAGGGGGAGAGAGAGAGAGAGAGTGTCACTCCTCATTGTGGGTCACTGCCTTCATTCCCTCCTTCTGCCTTGCCCTGGGGAGTGACCACTTCCTGGCTTAATCAGATTCAAAGGCTTGCTGACTGAGCTAATTGTTCCTCCACTCAACCTGCCTATTGGTTCCAGCATAAAACCAACATCCTTTGTGCACAATAGATCCACATTCCCAGCACGATTTCCCACAAAACAAAGTAAAAATAAGCACTCTGATCACTTTTATTACATTTAATTTAAATGATTTAAAGCAAAAACAAGACCTCTCCCCTTTCTTCCAAGTTTAATTCTATTACAAATACTTTGACTTTTTATATCAAAGCCTCCTCAAATAGGCATGAGTGTCATCATGAGTTCCACATTGTTTTTATTAAGCCGATTTCACCTATTATTTTGTTATTAATTCAACAAGCAAGTAAAGGGCAAAGATGAAAGTATAGACCACTGACAATAAACTTTGTGGGGGTAACATTAGTTGAATAAAATACTGATCTCCAATCATCTCTGAATTTTGATTCCACTTTTAGAGGTTGGATTTATATACAGTTAAGCAATTACTAAACCTCGTCTCTATTTCTCATGCATTGGGAAAACCCAGGGGAGGGGGCTATGTACTTGCACCTGATAGCACATGTTTGTCTCTTCTAAGACATTATCTCAAAAACCCAGGCAATTTTTTGAAGCTGTCAAATAATTTTCCTATCTAATATTAATGCCCTTTTTCTTAAATGAAGCAATAAAAGCTGTTTTATGGATGGGAATGTAGTATTTCAGAACACGATTTTGGACTCAGAGCAAGAACCTTGCTGTGATTCCACTGTCTCTAAGTATGTGTCCTTGGACAAGGGCGAGTTACTCAACTTCCTGTTTCTTCATTTGTAAAATTGGAATATATTTAGTATTTATCTCATCAGGTGGTGATTGAGAAGATTAAATGAGCCAATGCATGCAAAATGCTCAGTACTGAGCCTCATAGTAAAAAACCTCAGGAAATTATCTATCACATTGAGATGTTCTACTCTGGAATTCTTTCACCCTGGGGCAAAGGCACATCATTGTTAGTTTTTTTATTCCATCAGCTTATAGGCAATCAGTTTGAGTCTCCCTGATCAATTTAAATATTTATTAAAAGATTTTATTTATTTGTAGAAGAGCTGGGGTGTAGGCCAGAGATGCAGAGGATTCACCAGAAACAGTAAAGGAACAGACAGGTAGCTCTACTAAAATACACTGCTGAGGGGAGCAGAGGCAAGACTGGGGAGTTCAACTGTGCCATGTGGGTTAGTTCCCTGGCCAGGGATCAAACTCAGGCCACAGCAGTGCGACTTAACCTGTAGGCGACCACGGAGGCCCATTCCTTATCAATTTCATAAAAGATCCCCAAGTGCTTTCCCAGGGATGGCAAGGAGAGAAACTTCTTTTTTTCTTCCTATCTTTAATAGCCTTTCCATAGTATGCCCCAGATATTGAAGCAATTGCATTCCAGGAAACTAGCACAGACTTCTATAATAGCTGTTATTTCCTATCTCCTTTCAGTGTGGTGGAAGTACATTCTCTGGTTGCTTTCTAATAAAACTAGGACAGCAGGCTGGCAAGGCTTATATATCTCTTAGAAGATGTATATTACATAATTGTATGCATTCAGTATTCTATGGGTCTGCCAAAGTGTAGATCTCTGTGTGTCCCCTACTGCCAGTGTGTGTTAAAGCCAATGTGTTTCCCTGTGACGGTGGTGGTGGGGGTGGGGGGGTCTAGACTGTGTTAATACTTGGTTTGAACTGTTTTGACTTTTTCCTTTACTTTTTATCTCAAGGTTATAGCTACATGGTATGTCAATATACTGTGGGTCAGATCACTCCCTCCTGTTTGCCTGTTTGGAAAATAAAGACTGTTGAAATACTCATGTTAAACAGTACAAAGTTGTCAAACAAAGAGATTTTTTTGTTGTTGTTTTAATTGAGGGGGAGTCCTTTTCAGCGTTTGTTACTCTGACAGGCTAACCCTGACAGCACTGGTGTGACTTGTAACCCTGAGTTATTAGCCATTCGAAGAGTTGTTGCCACTTAATATACCAAAGGGACAGAGGTAGAACTGGAGGTTTCTCCAGTCACACTTTTGTATAGATATCTTTCCACACTAATTTCATTAAAGCAAGGAGACTTTCAGGGAGTGTAACTACTAAGAAAGAGGAGGTGTCATTGTGTTCCTGGCCCAGACTTCCTTACTGATTGTCTGACAGTTAGCAAAGTTCACAGGGTTCCTGCTTCTTTAGGGTCCCAACCTCCTTTTGGCACTAACTTGCTGGAGATGGTTCTGAATGGAAGCACAGAATTAAGATCTTTACAAATACCACCCTTTCCTCCACCCCAGGGGAATACCACAGTCTTGGCTTGAGGAAGAATGGTTCAAACCAGATTTGCCATTTAAAGAAAAATGCTCCCCTCCCATTGGCACTTGGATTCCAACATTCACTCATGCATCCTCTGGAGAAAAGCAAAACCTGCACCTTTCATATAAGGGCTTTCTCACACATAGGGAGGGAGTTTGAGGGAGGGAAGCTGATTAAGACTTGCTTCACCTCTTTGGATTCATTCCTTCACATAGAAGCCCTCAAAATAATAGCTTTACATGTGTCACCATCTTGGAATTTAAAATAAGTAGATTTCAAAGCTATAGAGGGAACAATTTTTGCAAAAATGGAAGAAAATCTAAACAAGAGATGAAATTAAACATTTTATTTATTCAGCACCTTGAAATGACTGAGTTAAATTAGGGAGTTGGCTCATGTTGCAGAAAGAACATGAGTTTTGGCATCAGAAATAACTAGGTTTGATACTGACCGTAAAATATGGTATATATAGGCCCTCCCTGGTGGCGCAGCGGGTTAAAGCACAGCACTAAGAAGTAAAAGCCACTTCAGCATGAGTTTGATCCCCCGCCCCAGGGGTGATCCACATGACGTGGCAGACCTCTCCTGACCCGCCCATTGCTCCTCTCAGCAGTATATTTCATCATTCGGCCTGTTCTGTTTCTGGTGAATCCTCTCACTGCCCCTGCACCTCTGATATGTGTCCCAGTTCTGTATGCATAAATAAATAAATCTTAAAAAAATAATATGGTATATATAAAAGGAATGAAAATGTCAGAAAATTAACAGTTAACTCCAGTGTAGAAAGGGGTTTAAGTGTTAGGAAAAGGAAAACTTTATAGAGAGAGATATGGCAACCACCCAGTTCCCGTCACTAAAACCAGGACAAACTGACATCTTTGCTTCCTAATATGATGCAACAGACATACATGTTTCACTTGAGAACTACTTTTGGCTAAAATTTAACCTGAAACTAATGAGAAAGAAATAATCAAACAAGTTTAGAATATACAGTTTACAAAACTTCAGCCTGAACTCTTCCAATTTGTCTAGATCATGAAAGATAATGAAAAGTTTACTGGGACAAATGTGGGAAATTTAAATACAAAATTTATATTTGATAGTGTTCATCACTTGTAAGTATCTTGAAAATACAAATGTCATTATGGTTACGTAGAAGAATATCCTATTGGTGAAAGCAGGAAAGATAGTGTTCTTTATGCTCTTTCACAGGCTTCCTATATGTTTGAAAATTTCAAATGAAACATTGGGAAGACAAAAGGGAAAAAATAAGCTTTATTAACTGCACTAAATGAAAAGGCTAACTTTTCCTCAGACATATAGTCCTGCTGGTTCAATAAGCCTTGAGAAAATTGACAAATGCAAGTAGGTCATCATTTAAGGAACTTAAGGCAAAAGCTACTGTGCTCCACTCAGTTCCAAGACAGGAACTGCCTTCCAAGAAAAGGAATGATGGGACAGGTATGCTAGCTTATTCTGTGATGATGTACATGCAGCTACAATAGAGGTGATAGTTCATATACTTTCTGATCTTTCCAGATATTCCAGCTTCTTAACTGGATTGAAAATCCATCTTCATTCATAATACTCCTTTCCCTCTGTTCTTTACTAGACATCCAACTTTAGCTGTGGGAGTCAACAAACTTTAACTCTCTTCTCATAATGGCTTAGGATTTAAGAAGATCGACGTTCAATTTTTATCATCCCTAACTGGGAATCATCAAATTTAAAAACCTTCCAATCTGTAAGATGTTTGGAACTAAATAGAGATTTGTGCATCAATTTGTACTTACCTAATTCAGATTTTATCTGCCTTTTGTATATTGGACCCTCAAATGTGTGTTGTAATCATCTGGAATTTATCAGAATTTTCCCATGTTTTTGCAAAACAACTTAAGTGTGTCACCGGCAGACATGTGCAGCTTGCTGTCTGTTCGCTCTCCCAGGCCTTACAGCTGCAGGGAAATGCACTTACTGGCAGATTTGGCTGCTCCAGGCAGCCTCCCACAGGCTACTGTGGATAGTGTCTGTCTTTTGGAAAGACCATTCCTATCTTGTTTTATCATGGAGATAGAGGAGCCCCAGATAGAACTGTGATTGTGACAGCGACTGTGATGGATTGGGGCTCTGGTCACCAAGGAAAAGAGAAGAAACTAAGAAAACAGGAAGAGAGAAACAGTGGGGGTGTCTGGGGAAGAGAGGTGGAGAAAAGATGGAGAGGAAAGAAGGACAACAAGAGAGGAGTCAGAACCTAGAGGAAAACATTCCTGAAGCCAAAAACAGCGCCTTGCGTCACACAGAGAGCAAAAGCCT